GCCAAAGCAAATTATTGAAATAAAATTGAACTATATGTTAGTCCCGAAATGACCTAGTAGAGAGAGAGAGAGAGAGAGAGAGAGAGAGAGAGGGAGGAGATATTTAACGCGACACAAAACTAGGTCATTTCGGGACTAACACATGGTTCAATTTTATTTCAACAATTCGCTTGCGCGTAGGGGTCTTTAGCCGTGGGAGGACACGGGAGGGTTTTTTTCACGTACAACCGGGGAATCGAAACCACGCCAGCTCACTTAATGACAAACCTTATGATTCAACGCGCACGCGCAAACCATTCGACCATCCAACCCCCGGTGTGTATTACAATTTTAACGTGCAATATTATACATGATTTTATCGACAGGTTGATTTATTTGAAATTATTTACATGAAGAAGGATTGTAAAAGATAAAACATATAAAAAATTATTGTACGTACAAATGTCGCATTTTAACAAATGTCGGTGCACGTGGGGTCTCCGTGGACCACATGCACATGTTTTATAGTGTTGTGTAATACCTACTGGGCACTGCTTTTTGAAATTTAGTGACTTAGTCTCCTATACATTTTTACACGTAGTGAAGAACTCGGTATTCATCTGCTTCCCACATGCAGAGTTCTGTTACATGCAAATCAGGCCCAACGCTTGAAGGGTACAAGGGGTCCAATCGGACCCCTAACTTAAACAACTCAACGTAGGGATTTTGCTAATGTATTTGCTGTCTAATACCATATTGCGTATGCCAGAGTATTCTCTCTTTTAGCAGCTGCATGTTACAAATACCAAAAATTAAATGATGAATTCAAGATATTCAATGGTTTTTGTATCAAGCGTGAATTGCCATTTTAACCTCTTTACCACATAGTACACAAAGTAGCAATTTTGTGAGAATTATTAAATCTTTTCCAAATGTCACTAAGATGTTTTTGTAAAATAATTTAGTTGTTTTTCAGTTGTCAAATATGAAAGCAAATAAAAACTAAACCGCTGCCTTTTAATTCAAATATATCTGTACGTAAAAACTTTGAATTATAACTGGGGTCCATATGGACCCCTGATACCTGCTATGTGATTCTCATAACGTGAACCCACAAGGGTTAAACACGGAGCATTCCCAATGTTGGCCGAGAAAGTTGCTCGGATTTTCCGTCGCGGTTTCCCCCATGTCAGTGGTGCAGGACGGAGTGCCTGGCAAGGTTAGTATCTATAGTTGTTTGAGTGGGACAAACAACATTAGCTTGCACGTAAAAGAACCAATGACAGTTGGAATTCGATATAAATGTAGACCGTAGCGCCACTGTCTGGGCGAAATTTCCCTCATATCACACTACATGGCGTATGCCTGTCTTCATTAGCCCAGTAGGACGTTAAACCCCAATTTCATTGATTCATTGCGAGAAGAGCGAGCGGGTACAAGGGAGATAAATACAGTTTAACAGGCTGGATTAAGACCAATAACTTTCTCTCCAACTGACCTCACAGTTAAATGGAAGACACTGGGGTGATCATAAGATTTATAATCAAAAAGAGCACAGCATGCCACAATCATCTGATAAAATATTGCAACATTTCAGAATATTAAGCATTTGTATATCTATGAGAAATTTGGCTGAACGGACAATCTGTAATGTAAAGTAAATTTATAAAGTGCACGCTCAAAACCCATATCCTACATTATAATAGAATACTAGCCCCTATTTTATAAAGCGCGTGTTGAAGATTAACTTCGATGTATTATGACAGTGCACGCTTAAACCCCGCTAAATTATGATATAATACTAATCCCTGTATTATAAAGTGCACACTTATGATATAATAAATAATAAGCCTATATTAAAAGTGCATGTTTAAGACTCCTCCATATATTACAAATTGCATGTTTAAGACTCCCCATTATATTATGACAGAAACATAGTGCACATATTTACGATAAGTTAAGTTTTTCAAATGGGATATTTGTGGGTAATTGCTGGAACATTCCCAATATGAACTTTAATTTTTGAGTACTCCGACAACTGCCCAACCCATTGGGCATGACGGGGTAACTAAATGGTGTACACAATTCTCACTTATAAGCAGGGGTTATTAATATGTTTGAATATTTAACGGTAAACTACAGAAAACAGTGGATGGTGGTTATTCATCTGAGGACAGGTAAACCTTCATAAAATCACCTGCCCGTAAATATATAGCGGGTCAATTTTGTATTTTTACATATTTAAAGGCGTGCGTCGTTTTATTTTAACTGTGGGAGTGGGGGGGGGGGGAGGGCTTAAGTGTGCACTTTCGATCATAAGACCTGTCATTCAGTCACCTGTGTGGTTTTCTCCGTGTGGGTTTTCTTCCCGTTTCTGACGACCCATACGCACAAGCGAAATATTGAAATAAAGATTATCACCCTAAATGACCTAGCCTGTATTGAGTGGACGTTAAACCCCATGCCCCACTAGAACGGCATCTACTGTAAACCGGCCGAAGAGCACATAATCGTGTGCACAGTCCATCTACAAATTTGACCATTGAAAAGAGTACTAGCGACATTCCACCAAAAGCGCCCAAGTAGGGTGTACAGTCCAGTCCATCAACAAGCTTGACCACCCTACCCCCACCTCGAAAAAAACATCCCACCTTTTTTATTTGGATTACGTAATTTGGCCCTTGACAGGAATAGTAGCGACACCCAACCCCAGCCCATGCAGCCGATCATAAGCTTAACCCCCCCACCCCCGCTCCCCCACGCCAAAAAAACCCAACCCACCCCATCTTTTGCATCATAAGGTTTGTCATTGGGGCAAATAGCGTAGTTTCGATTCCCCGCTTATAGGTGACAAGGCCTAGGGTCGCCTGTCCAACCTCGTAGGTTTTCTCCGGGTCCTCCGATTTCCTTGCACTACTAAAGACCCCTAAGCGCATGTGAATTATTGAAATCGAATTGAACCATGTGTTAGTCCCGAAATTCCATTTCTTCCCCTCCTTCTTTTCTTATAGGTCGTTTTCACCTGCACTGTCTACATGCCGAATACTCTTATTTTGCGGGGGGATCGCGTGGCTAAGTGGGTAAGACGCTGGCTCGCTAGCCTGGAGGTCGGGTGTTCGATCCCTGCATTGACCGAGAAAGTTCATCTAGATTTTCCGGCGTGGTTCCCCCTTGTCAGTGATGCAGGACGGAGGGCCTGACAAGGACAGCTGTCTAGTCCTTCGGATGAGACGAAAAACCGAGGTCCCGTGTATATATTGGAATGCACGTAAAAGATCCCTTGGCAGTTGGAATTCGATATAAGAGTAGGCGATAGTGCCGCTGCCAGAGCAAAATTTCCCTCATAGCACACTGTATGGCGTATGCCCGTCTTCATTAGCCCAGCATAGGAGCAGAACAGTAGGACGTTAAACCCCATTTCATTTCATTTCATTTCTTATTTTGCGCATTCGGATTACGTTTTGTCTGCGGTATCACTTCTGTATTCGTTTAACAGTATTTATACTGCAAATGAAATGAATTATGGTTTAACGTCCTACATTTCTGCACCGACTGAAATACCCCATAAAGTGTGCTATGGTCGACATTTCGCTCGGACATCGACACTACGACATACTCTGATTTCGAATTCCCACGCCAGTGTGTATACGGGACCTCGGTTTCTCGTCCTATCCTTGGCAGGCCAGCCGTCCTGTAACATTAGCAAGGGTGGGCCACGCCGGATATACCCGAGGAACCACCTCGACCAACAATGGGAGCGAACCCGAGACCTCCACTTTAACGTCTTACTGACTGAGTCACCACGGCTCCCATTTTATAATGCCCACACAGCTGTACAGTTCTTAAAAGTACCCTGGCGCTATCCCCACAAAAGAGGAAACTATTGTTCTGATGTTAAACCAGATCCGCTCATAGTCGTTTAGGTGAAACGAATAACCAACGTCCCGTGTACATATTGGCGTGCATGTAAAACAACCCGTGCCTTAGCGTCGTTGTCCCGGCAAAGTTTCCCTCATGACGTATGGACGTCTTCATTAGCTCACCGGGAGTAGGACGCTAAACCCCGGTCAGTTCGGATCTAGCACAGTAACCAAGAGTTTGGAGGTTCGACATCGACATTAGAATTCCATAAACATTAGGCGGAAACGCAGCTCTCTATACACACTTCTCCTCATGGTATACTGTTATTTCGTTCAGACACTTTTTTTTTAAACCAGTTCAAAATGGCCGGGGTTTTTAAGAAGGACCGTGTTGCGTTCACACGTATTATAATCCAAACAAGTTTAACTATTCTGATTTCTTCGGTCGGAGGTTAAAGTTAACTACCCATGGGTAGCCTATATTCTTTATTCGGTTCTCGCAGGCTTTCGTGAACACTGGCACTCTCTGGCCCCGATATTTTCCCAGGAATGTAACTTACTGCGTACAGCCAACCCGTTCAGGCGGCTAACATGAACCAGTTTTATAAAAAGCCTTCGCAAGCTGGGTGTTTTAAACTGGTTTATTTGCCCCACATTTGCGTTCAGACGACAAAAGTTAAACTGGTTTAACGATCCCTGGAGTTTTTAAACCAGTTCAACTTAAGCGACTGAACGGGTTATGGATGAAGTGTGCATGGTGTATGAATGGCGTGTGTATGGCATATGTATGGCGTATACATGCAGTGTGCTATGAAGTGCTAAGAAATATAAAAAAAGCATATGTTTGTCCCAAAATGACAATTTGTGTCGATTGGATATTAATCCCACGTTCTCTCTCCCTCCCTCCCCCCTCTCTCTCCATACACTCGTTTTCGAGGTTTAAAGCAAATGTGATAGGGCTGCTTCTATGTAACCGGCGAAAACGCGTACGTGGAAAACGGGCTTAAGTATTGATGTTTGGGATACTGCCTGATCGCGACACACATGGTTTAATGCATACAGATGTAAATGTCTATACCTACCTTTAATCATTTATATAAAACTGTCTTCGCTATTCTTGAATTCGTTTAAGTTATTTTATATCTAAAAAATACGATGCAAGGTTGTGTTGTTTAAGCAAAGAGTTTCTATGAAGTAGATACGAGTTCGTATCAGATTTCTTATTAGTAATTAATGTTAGAGACTTGAGACACTCATACACGCCCCCCTTTCCTGACTTCAAGATGAAAACGTGGACTCTATGTGGGATATTATTTATGGATATTATTGTTACACAAGGTAAGTTTCATTCTCATTTCAATATAAATTATTGATGCCTAAATGAATCGAATTAGAAGGCGCTAATCCCTTTTGATGTGGATCAAGTTAGAGTATTTAATTAGGTTGATCTGATGTCCTTGTGATTGGGAAAGATTTATATGATTAAAGTTTTGATTTGAATGACGTCATTTGCAGTAAGTGATATTTAGGGATATAAAGGGCCATGATAATGTGTTGTTTTTGGGTTTTTTTTAAAAAATACTCTTCCTTGGCTGTATGTTTCGTATATTTTTTTATTCTACATGTATATATCTTTGGCTAGATCTAGTTCTTAAGGTCACCTCCAGATTTCTTCAAGGTCACTGAGATGTAAATAAGGCTAGGGCACGTGACGGTTGACGAGATTGCCGGATAGGGTTTGGGTAAAGGTTAGGGCTAGGTCCAGTTCTTAAGGCCACCTCCAGATTTTGCCAAGGTCGCTGTGATGTAAAAAAGGTTAGGGTACGTGACTGTTGACGAGATTGCGGGATAGAGTTTGGGTAAAGGTTAGGGCTAGGTCCAGGGTTAGGGTCAGCGCTAGCCTTATTTACATCTCCTGACCTTTGACCAAATCTGGAGGCGACCATAACAAATAGACCTAACCATATATCTGGCCACTATTTCGTATTTTTTTTAAATACCATTGCCTGGATATTTTAAAATATACTAAACAGCAAAAAAAAAACAAACCAAAAAACAAAAAAACGTGAGTACGATTTAAAAATCAGAGAGGCACTTTAATCAGATCATTTTAGAAAACGACTGACTAAAAGGATAAATGGATCAAAGCAATTTCAAGACATTACGAGAAGGTTTAGAGTCTGTACACAGTCTCTATATCAGTATCCAGCGTGTCCACCGCGAGTGTCAATAACAGCAGCGCAGCGTCTGTACATGGAGCGGACCAGACGATTGATGAACGCCATTGACACCTGGAACCACACTCTCAGAGAAGCCTGGCGCAATCCATCGGCTGTGTTTGATCTCGGTACGACGTTATTAAGTCTCCTCTGAAGTTCATCACAAAGATGTTCAATCGGGTTTCAGTCGGGACTAAGGGCTGGCCAGTGCATAACGTTGACACCGTTCTGCTGTAGAAAGTCCAAGTAACTCTGGCGGTGTGAGCACGGGCGTTGTCATGCTGGAAAGCGTTGTTTCGATGACGTGCGAAATGTTGTATGCCGTGGGGTCAGAGAGTTTGATTGATGTAGCGCACTGCTGGGCCAAGATTTTGGAACACCACAGGACCCACTCTGTGATTCAGACCGATTCCACTCCAAACCATTATGCTTGGACCTCCCCATGACCCACTCTCTGGTTCAGGCCGATTCCACCCCAAACCATTATGCTTGAAATTCCCGCTGGCCACGTCGACGCCATATTCTGGTTCTGCCATCAGCGGTTGATACGCGATACTGACTCTCATCTGTGAACAGAAGAGTTCTCCATTGCCTGTGTCACCAGTTCTGGTGTTTTTGGGCAAACTGCAGACGTTCACGTCGATGGCGAGGAGTGGGGATCGGTCCACGGTAAGATCTACGGCAATGGATGTTCTTTCTAGTGAGACGTCGGCGCACTGTATCGGTATTTATGGGTCTTTTGTATGTTCCCACTATCGGACGTGCTGTCTCAGATGCCTGTGTGAAGGGATTCTATGCGTGCTGTCGCACAACATGACAGTCTTGCGCCTTGTGGTACAATCTAATTAAATACAGATCTATATTTCATTTCGTTTCCGTGGTGTTGGTAGCCCGAAAGCGTTGCTGAAGCCTATAGATGGTCGGAACATTGACCTGGAAGTGATTGGCAACGGCTTGGGCAGTGTCGAGTCTTCTAAGCGCCTGGCTCCTCTGGGCTGTCGTGAGTCGTGGCATGCTGCTGACGTTGTAGTGTGAATGATTCAACCAGGTATGGGGTGCCTTTTATAGGGCTGGTTCTGGTGAACAGCACGTGCAGCATGAGTTACATGAAAATCATGGAGAACACATAACCATTTCAGAAGTCAGGGTCGTTTTTTTGAGAACATTTCCTGGGTTCAATTCTGTGTTTGGCTCCCCCCCCCCACCTAATATTTTGGCCGCAAGTACCCTTTTCTCCAGATTATAGCACGCATGTAACTATTCTATTAAAAACATAAAGGTTTGAATTTAACATAGAAGTGAGTAGAAGTGAGACTTCTAGAACGTAGGCTTTCAAAAGAAGAAAACCCTGCTATGCTCTATACTGTTCCCAGGGTTAAGAGACCCGCGGTTGCGAGGGTCGCGATTAGATAACTGAATGGTCGATCTTTATTTCAAGTCTATCTCATGTCTGTTGTATCTATGACATATTAGGTAATTAGAAAAACGACGGGATACAGTTTTATTTATACTCTTTCCTTGTGCCCCTTATCCATTCACTGCTATGGCCAGTTGAAACAAGCGGTTGCCTTGCAAGATATGCCCACATTTTGTAAGAAATGGACGTGGAAGAGGTAAAATCAAAAGGGCTATCCTATCATTCAAGATCATTTGATCCTTAACATATTTAAGGTTCATCAGAATGGGACAACAATGGTAGCCCCCCCCCCCCCCCTCACCTGGATTGCCTACAAAATAAAATTTTACTTCATTGCTGAGTAATTTTATTAGCCAGAAATTGCTTAGAAATCGTCTCCGACGATCTAGATCCCCAAGAGCTCGTCTAAGGACCTAGGGTGGTAGCCCCCCACCCCCAATCAAGAATTGCTTCCGCCGGCCCTGTTTGGGAAGGAGCCTTATTGCTCAAGAATAGTTAGAGATGTGGTCACAAATATACAATAAAACATTTATGCAACGCGTCTATTCAGAGTAACATACCAACCCGACGTTTCTTTTGCTGCTTACTTTACTAATCCCTGGCCATCATTTCGTATTTTACAGTGTTGGGCGATCGAATAGTAAGTGACGCTAATAAAAACGAAGCGCAACTGTATAAAGATTTATTTACTAATTATACTAATGCCATAATGCCATTGAAGAATGAAACAGGATCGGTAACTGTACGTCTTGGATTATCATTGTACAGTATAATAGAAATGGTAAGTTATGAAGTAACTTTAAAGATGCATTATGTAAATGAAATGGGGTTTAACGTCTGACTGGACTACTGAAGACGGGCATGCACAATATGAGGGAAATTTTTCCCAGACAACGGCACTAAGGCCTACTCTCATACCGAATTCCAAATATAAGTCTGGATGCGTTGTCAACATTTGAGAATAATAGGTCATTGGCTAGATTATCCGGTCTTTTACTTCATCATAAACAAAGTCTAAGGGAGGTAACTAGTCCAAAAACAAGATGTTGACGCCCATGAAATTAATTTAAGAATGCCATTTCAGAAAATCCATTTGATTGCATTGCGAGTTCAATATCAAACAGTCTTAAAAAAAATTTATTGTAAAATTTCTTTCTTCATGGGCCATATCTGTTGATTCTTTTTAACCCTAAATCGTCACGATTCATATTTGTTTATATTAATGCAAGAATTGGGGGATTTTTTGTGGGAAGGGGCACAACTGTTACTTGACTTGGCCAAAGATACATAAAAACCAAACACCCGGTTACGTTTGGGCAATGGAACGTTCGTCAAATATTGACAACGGTCCCAGGCCCTCCATACGTTGAAGCCTTGGAGGGTCTGGGTGACCGCGGGGGGGGGGGGGGGATGGCTGAATGGTTAGCGTGCGCGCGCTGTATCATAAAGTCTGTCATTGAGTCAACTGGCGTGGTTTCGAATCCCCGTTTGTACGTGGCAAGGAGTAGGGTCGCCTGTCCAACCTCGTGGGTTTTCTCCAGGTCCTACGGTTTCCTCCCACTGCTAAAGACCCCTACGCGCAAGCGAATTATTGAAATAAAATTAAACCATATGTTAGTCCCGAAATGACCTAGTTTGTGTCGAGTGGACGTTCAACCCCTTCTCTCCCTCTCTCTCTCTCTGGGTGACCGAGACGGGAATCTAAAAGGCTAAAATTAAGCTTAGATAATCAGATGACCATTTGAATTCTGAGACAACCAATGATGTAATGTTTTCCAGGAGTCTAGCTGCGCTGTCTTGACTTTGTAGGAGTATGGTTGAGAGAATAGATGTTCTTTTTAAACATTACATTATGCAAGAGCTAAATCTGCCTATTGCATGTCTTTTTTCCGCCTGAAATCTTATCTAAATATTTTAATTAGACATTTATTAACTTATCCAGGCAATAATCAACTCTCGATGGCATCGCCAGCCTGCGATGTTTATTGGATTAGGTTCCAATTTGCTGTTCGACTTCCTTTCATAATTAAATCATGAAGTGGATCAATTTGACTGAAATTTTCAGCAAATTCCCTTTACCGTATCTGGTTTATTAACTATTATAGTGAGAACTGCCAGCTCTTTATCTAATCTCCCATAATGTATCTTGAAGTATTCGGTATTTTATTGTTTTAAACTGGGTAACCGGCTTCGCTATAAAATCGTATGCCGTGTAAATTGTTGTCTCTCATTTTAATATCAACACCCACTTTCGAAGTACTTTAGATCGATCACTCTGGCAGAATATGTGATTTGGGTAGCCATATTTACACAGATTACGTGAAGTTCCGGGGGGGGGGGGTGACTGAACGGTTAGCACCTGCGCGCTGTATCATAAAGTCTGTCATTGAGTCAACAGGCGTGGTTTCGATTCCCCGGTTGTACGTGGCAAGGAGTAGGGTCGCCTGTCCAACCTCGTGGGTTTTCTCCGGGTCCTCCGGTTTCTTCCCATTGCTAAAGACCCCTAGGCACAAGCGAATTATGGAAATAAAATTGAACCATATCTTGGGCCTAGTTTGTGTCGAGTGGATGTTAAACCCCATTTCTCTCTCTCTCTCGCTCTCTCTCTCTCTCTCTCTCACGTGAAGTTCAGTATCCATGCCAGTCAAACAAAGATGTGTTGCAAGCTAGTGCTACACTTTTAAAGCCCCCCAAAAAGATTTACTATAGGCAGAAAATTACTCAAACCTACGGCCGACCAACGGCCAAAATAAGTCGACCGTGACCGCTTGAAAGGAATGTCACGGGTTCGTATCCCGGCGTTGCCACATCCTCAACCCCCGCACGGGGAGGCAGGTGTCAAAGATCATAGCCTTAATTATCATAACCCGAACACACGGAAGGGCAACGATGGACATAATACACACAGGGAAGGACTGGAAGCATTTACAAGAACAGACACATGGAAGGCTGGAGTTGTCGAATGGTTTGGATTGGCGATGATAGCATGGACATAGCGTGAAGACTGACGGTTATAGCATGGACAAAACAATGGCTTTGTAAAGTATTATTAGAAAATAATTGGCTGATTAGTTTTTTTTATCTTATTTTATCAGGACGAGATTAGGGAACGATTGGATGTGAGTGCCGTGCTGTTTGAGCTATGGACAGATGAGAGGCTGGAGTGGGACCCCAGCAGATATGGAAATATTAAAACTTTAAGAGTACCAGCGTCAGTGGTGTGGAGACCAGATGTTGTCTTATACAATGGGTGGGTAGAAATCATCATCATCATCGTCGTCGACGACGTTAGAATGAGAATCAGTATTCGCAATAACAGCAGCGTAATGCTGGCACAATAGCATGTTCCTGAAGCAACGACCGCGAGTTTTACAACATCTGGACGTAGCTAGATTGCTTCACAATTCTCGAACTTATAGCTACGTTATCCACAGACACATGTCAGAGATTGTGACATCGCGACCTCCGTGGAAACCTCGCCATTGAACGAACCTTGAACTTTGCAACTCAATTATCACAGGTAGACATTTTGACTTGGTATTCGCGACGACCGAGGAATCTGATAGGCTCACAAGCTGGACTTGTACCCAATCGAAATAAGCGCCAAAATATGCAGGGTACTACATCAAGGCCTTGATAAGATGTACGTAGTTAAAGCGAGATCAAGCCTTCTATTTAAGATGGCACAATATATGGTTGAATCGATGTATTGCGATTCACCTTCTTACGATTCCCGTATAGAAACGCGAGACGTTGAATCGAGGTATCGCAATTTTTTTTTTTATGTTTTTGACGCTTCAGTAAGTAACTCGTCACAAATTATCCATAGGTCCTTATATTGATCCACATCAACATTGTGATGCGAAACAGTTTTATTTCTTCGACATTTTCAGGACTAAAAATATTAATTATTCATTTATCCTGTTGTTTTCTTGGTAAATATTGACCTGGTTATGAATCGTGTCGTAACACCTGCATCGCAATAGGTATCGTATCGTGACTGCAGTGGCAAAACTCAGCACTAAGCAGCAGTAGCAGCAGCAGCAGCAGCAGCAGTAGCGTCCAAAATGCTGATGACTAGACGCAATTCCTCGCCAAGTCTCGTCCTGTGTCACTGATAGGGGTGGGGGTGGGGGTAGTGGGTGGAAGTCACCCTTGCATTTTATTCACATCTTTCGGGTCTTCTTGGACAATAAAATACCAAAGCAGTTTGGGGTTTTCTTTCAAATATTCTTTTCTATTTTAGGATGGGAGATGAGCGTACGTTTAACGACCAATCAGTAGGTATATATAACGGAATTATATTGTGGATACCAGCTATGCGCTTGCAAGCGACGTGTGAGGGAAATTTACTTAGATTCCCGTTTGATAAGCAAACGTGTAAATTTAATTTTGGATCATGGACATATCACGGGAACGAACTTAATCTTACGTATCTGGGTGGTAACGCATTAGAAGCCTACAAGTTAAGTGAATTTGTTGCAAGTGGGAATGACTGGAAGTTATTAGAGTATACGGCTGACATACTTGTTTTACATTACCCTTGTTGTTCCGAGCCATATCATACTATGGTCTTTACTGTGGTGCTTGAAAGGAAACCAATGTATTATATACACGTTTATATTCTACCTGCTGTTATCTTGTCTTTATTGATTCCTTTTCAACTTTTTCTACCACCAGAATCAAGAGAAAGACTCACGGTTGGTAAGTACTAAATGACAACATTAAAAAAAGAAATGAAATTGGGTTTAACGTCCTACTGTTCTACTCCTATACTGGGCTAATGAAGACGGGCATACAGCGTGCTATGAGGGAAATTTTGCCCGGGCGACACTGTTGCCTACTCTTATATCGAATTCCAACTGCCCGGGCAGCGGCATCAAATTCCAACTGCCAAGGGATCTTTTACGTGCATTCCAATGTATACACGAGACCTCATTTTTTCGTCTCATCCGAAGGACTAGACAGCTGTCCTTTATGCCCTCCGTTCTGCACCACTGACAAGGGGAAACCACGTCGGAAAATCCCGATGAACTTTCTCGGCAAATGCAGGGATCGAACACCCGACCTCCAGACTAGCGAGCCAGTGTCTTACCCATCTAGCCACCGTGGCTCCGACAACATAAAAATAATGATCAGTAATGATTGTTATGATTTTACACAATCTGATTAAAACTCAGATCATATTTCGTTCCGTTTTTTATGCAGTTCAAAATTCCGTTTTTCTTGTTTTCACAAAACTAGGATCTGAAAGAGTTATAACATAGCCCGCGTTCTGCTTGAAGTGAGGGGTTAGCCAATGAAACGGTCTGTTACGATGAGTTCTTTGCGTGTGATGCACGGAATGTGGGTGAACCACTAGACACGTCAACATTGATTGATTAATCAATGTCTCACGTCATAGTGGGAGAGATGGGGTTTAACGTCCACTCGACACAAACTAGGTCATTTCGGGACTAACATATGGTTTAATTTTTTATTTCAATAACTCGCTTGCGCGTAGGGTTATTTAGCAGTGGGAGGAAACCGGAGGACCCGGAGAAAATCCCTCGAGGTTGGGCAGGCGACCCTACTCCTTGTCACGTACTCAATGACAGGCCTTATGATACAGCGCGCACGTGCTAACCATTCGCCCCCACCCCCACCCCCCCGCCCCCTAATTAAAAGAGCCAAGCGTTCTATTACGTACCAAGGGACCGCGGGTTGTCTTCGTATCCGAACTACGGGAAACTATCCATTGTTAGGTTCCATACCCTGTTCCATTGACAAGGAAACCTTCTCGGTCAGCACGGGAATCGAACCTGGTACACCCTGGTTAGTGCTCCGGCGTCTTACTTTCTATGATACTCAAGCTACAAGATGTTCACATTGGCAGTTAGAATTCGATATAAGCATGGGTCATAGCGCCGCTGTCCGGGCAAAATTTCCCTCGCAGCACACTGTATGGCATATGCCCGTCTTCATTATCCCAGTCGGAGCAGAACAGTAGGACGTTAAACTTTCATTTCTATCGTTTATCTGTTTCAGGTTCTATATTGATAATATCTAATATAATGATGATATTCAAGCTACAAGAGATTCTACCAATACAACATGTGACACTACCATTACTTGGTAAGATTTTAAACTAGTCAGACTAAGAATTAAAACTAATAAACAAAATAGAACTGGTAAGCTGTGAATCTGTGTCTTCTTACCGCGTGCGTGATGTATAATATTGATAAAATATAATAATATTATATGATATTTAGTGTAAATCGGTATATAAAATGAGGGTGGGGGAGATGAGTTTTAAAAAAAAATGGTATTACTACGTCCAATGTAAACAACGCACGTTTTTTTTAACGTTGTATGACGTGGCAGTGTGGAGTTAGCTCGATTTTCGTTTTTCGATATTGGTGAATATTAAAAAATGAGCTACTCGTTTTTCGATATTGGCGAATAACGAATAACAAGTAGCTCGTTTTTCGATATTGGCGAATAACAAGCTACTTGTTTTTCGCTATTCAAACATAGATGTCAAGAAAGCAGATTCGATGTGTATATGTAGAGAAGGTCACAAAAAATCATTTGATTAAAAAAGTTTTCAAAACAACTAAAGATGTCATAAATGAAGATGTCTGGGCAGTGGATTCATATAAAAACTGCTCTTTTCCTTGTTTTTGATATTTTCGAATTACGAAAAACGAGATTTAATGCAATATGTTTTGGAAACATTCATATACATGATAAAAATATCTGTTATTTTGAGATCTAAGTTTAAATGTCGAAAAACGAGTAGCTTTTGTTATTTGCCCGGGCAAAATTTACCTCATAGCACATTGTATGGCGTATGCCCGTCTTCATTAGCCCAGTTGGCGCTATAAAGTAGGTTGTTAAACCCCATTTTATTTTCGTATTGCGTTTGCAAATTCTAAATGATGCATATTTTGGCGAGTTGACTCCCTTTACACCCATGAATTATATTTTCAGGTATCTTCTATAGTTTAAATCTGATCTGGTCATTCCTCTCTTTAATAGCAACTATATGTGTTCTAAATGTACATAACAGAGGACCTAGACGAGGCAGGGTGCCCGATATCATTAGATGGGTAAGTAAACGATATCAGTAGGTGGGTAAGTAAAAATGATATCATTAGATGGGTAAGTAAACGATATCATTAGATGGGTTAATAATAAATATCATTAGATGGGTAAATAAACATCATTAGATGCCATGGGTACGTAAACGATTTTGTTAGACAGGTGAGTAAACGATATCATTAGATGGGTAAGTAAACGACATCATTAGATGACAACGTAAACGATATCATTAGATGGGTAATGAAACGATATCATTAGTGTAACACTACAGATACCAGAAGATCAGCATAATTGATAAGACCTTTATTAAGAACATGAAATAGACATAATGCAGGATGAGCTCTATTCAAAGTCTGTCTTACTGACAATAAACCCCTGCTTATATAGCATACGACAATTAGGGAAAATGGACAAGAGTGAATCATCATTTATGGTATTGTTTATTTATCTGATTATGGTATTTGTAACTGCACTGCGTATGTCCTTTGAAGTCATGAAGTTCTACCGTGTGTTATACACAGATCATGTGTAGCTTGTAAAGGACATGTGTAGCTTGTAAAGGACGTGTTGTGTTTAATAAGATCGTATGCAGTCCGTGCCTTAACAGAAGTTTACACAGAGTTGAAACGTCAATATCATATATTATCAAATCCAGCAGAGGTCATAAAGGTCTATGCACCTAAACGATCGTTCATTTTGATGAAAGGTATAGATCACTTTGTCACATTAGATGGGTAACAGATACGGGGTAACGGGCTATCGAAATAACAGACTGGCAGATTTTTTGTTCTCTATTTATTAAGCTAGAGAGACCCATATTCCATTTGTTTGATATACAGTAAACGACTCGAACATTTTGGGGTAGAATTGTTTGAAATTAAAGGAATATGTCGGTCAAAAATAAATTTTACCAAAAAATGCCATTAATCGTTTTCTTCTTCTGCCATTCCAGGTTTTCTTACGAAGTCTAAAACGGATCGTTTGTCTGGGAAATGACAATTACTATCCACTTAGTTCAACTGATTGTGTTTCAATGAAAGGTTTAGAGAATCCAGTGTTGAGCAGCTCGACTGATGGACAGAAAGCAAAAGAAACTAACAACGGTAATTATAGGAAACAATTAGCCTATGTGTCACTCGGCAAACCTCAGCAGATTACAGTACCCTACATCTAGCCTCGACTGTATTACGAAGTCCACCATTGGAACTACTTTCAAGTTCCCGAATTACCAACGGCGTTGCCCACGACGACGCCTTTGAAGAATGTTTTATCATACAAATATTTCACAGTCTGAAGCTGTTTTTCTTTCAAGTTTATCCGATTTTCTTCAAACAAGGACAACTTTGCATTGAAAATTCTGCACACGCTTCGAAGGACCTAATTTTGATAACTTCTTTTTAAAAGCGGCAAGTTTTCCTAAAAAGTAAACCGGTGCCGCATCGCAATTGTATAGGCTTAGGTACATATATAACTTACCGCGATACAGCCGAGGTAATGGAATCTAGTGAGGTTTGCCGAGTGGCCCATATGTGTATCGTACATTATTTATCTTATATGGGCATTACGTAAGATTAGAATAAGAGTTGACAGTTCTCGCTATAATTGTAAAAACATAGAGAATGAAAAGAGAATATGTTGAAAATTTCAGTCAAATTGCTTCCATCTGAACCGAGATATTAGCCTAGTCTCGGTCGTCATTACTGACGTTGGTATGATAACAAAGTCTCGATTATCCGTTTTTACGTTAAATTATCCATAACAAAATATATTTAAATCCAGTAAATATCGCAGGCTAACGATGGCATCGAGAGTGGATTATGGTCTTTTACATGACGATTTTTGTTGACTTTTTGGTGTAGAATCAAAGAAAGGGGTTTGAAAATACATTTTCTGCCAGGTATGTATTTCTGTAATGTTGCGTCAGACTAGCAATTCTTGAATTTAAATGAACTGAAGGGAGATAACTGTGTATATTTCTATAATATATTTTGTAGGATATAAGTTAGAGGCAGATGTTGAAGATTTAAACAGACAACTGCATATTTTAACAGCACGTGCTCGTACGAACGAAGTAAAAGAGGAAATGCTTGGTGAATGGCGTCAAGTATCTCTTGTACTAGACCGTGTTCTCTTCTTTCTCTTCATGCTCACGATTTTGATATATACAGTTGTTTTACTGGGATAGGATTTATTGTATATCGATATATACACTTGTTGTACTGGGATACGATTTATTGTATATTGATATACAGTTGTTCTGCTTGAATAGGATAAATTGTATATCAATATATACAGCTGTTCTACTGGGATAAGATTTATTGTATATTGATATATACAGTTATTCTACTGGGATAGGATTTATTGTATTTTATGTATATTATTATATGTTATATCATCTACTTTATATTATTATTTATATGTTATATTATTACTTCAAAAGCATCATAATAGTTGACACACGTTCAGCTATCCACATAGAATGTCAAATAGTAAGAGTAGAATATTCCCGCCACAAGATTTTATTATTTAATGCGTTCTTCAATTCAATGTAATTTATGATATAATGAATGAGAAATTATAGTATGAAACATAAACAGTATAAATGAGATGTAGTCTAGATAAGATACAGCTCTAGCAATCTGATTAAATTACAGATCTATATTTCGTTTCGTTTTTTTTTTTACTTTCGATGACCTCTACATGTACAACATGAAGATCTGACCAGTTGTCGTGGGAGGTCGCGTCAGGAGTCTTACCAGCGGCTTTTGACCCTATTAACCAATCAGCGTTGATGTTTCTAGTAGGATACCCACAGTGGGTTTTTTTATAAACAACATTTTTATTCATGTTGTCTGAATCGGATTGGGGAACAGGCTTAGCCTATGTAGGTCCCCTCTCCCTGCAACATATCGTTTCATTGGCTAATCTCTTACATCATCCAGAACGCGGGTTGTATACAACTCTTCCAGATCCTAGTGTAGTAAAGACAAGTGAAACTATAAAACGAAACGAAATAGGATCTGTGTTTTAATCAGATTGGAGCTCTAGATGAGAAGCGAGACATTGGTACACAATTCTAGTTCTTATTATAATGTATATACTGGAATAAAGTGTTGAATGCAGTACGTCATCATTTGTGTCTGTAAACTCAGGCTATAGCATACAAAATGAAATGAAATGAAATGTTTTAATGCCCTACTGTGTTGCTCCGACTGGGCTACTGGGGGCGGGTATACGCCATACAGTGTGTCAATTGATATCGAGACAGGATATTGATATGTTCCTTCAAGCATAATTAGATTCGAAAAGCAAAAAAAATCCCGACATTTCTAACGACCCATATAGTTAACTATTAGGCTTACAGTTTGGCTACTTGACTATCAATCAGGGGATAAACGAAGGAGACGCAGTGACGAACTTTTTTTTCACCCATTGAGTTTTTGCGCCCCCTCGCAAATGGCAAGATAATCATAATGCTTAACCAGTGTCAAACATATACCGTGGGCCAGAGATAATAATACAAATTGACTCTAGCATATTCCACACAGCCCAATATTACCCGGTGGCACTGGGAGGGACCCCAACCCATTCCCTCACACACATATAAATATTGTGTTTTGGGAGGCCCGGACCGGATCTTGTTCCTCATGAAAAATCATGGATCATCACGCTCCTAATATCTATTTGTGGAATCCACAGAATATTGCCGCCATTTATGGACTTTATGTCTTTGACCATACCCCAAGCGCCTTAATTATTCACGAAATCTTAAACTAAAATGAGGACTATAATTTGAATTCTAGGTCAATGAAAATGGTGAATTCTAAAACTACATTAGCTGAAGTATTCGAGATTTTATTGTATTGAATATGCATTCCCTAAATACAGAACAAAAAGAAACCGGATTCACCAATTCCTGTAAAATCGACGTGACATGCTCGTTTGTATGATGATATTGATATGACAATTCCAAGATGGTGGTGATGACGTCATGCTCAGTTCCTATTTTTTTAAAGTACCACGCCTCAGTATTAATCTCTCTGCTTCTTCCTCTGCCTCCATCTCTACCCTCTCCCCCACCCCCGTACAATCTATCTCAAACTTTCATGTGCAAAGGGAAGGCGGATGGCCTAATGGTAAGCGTGTGCGCGTTGTATCATAAAGTCTGTCACTGAGTCAACTGGCGTGGTTTCTATTGCCCGGTTGAACGTGACAAGTGGTAGGTCCTTCAATTATCTCCGACTGCCAAAGACCCCTACGCGCAAGCGAATTATTGAAATAAAATTGTGTCGAGTGGACGCTAAACCCCATTTCTCTGTCGACCTCTCATGATTTATAATAGTATATATTGTAAATATATTTATTATTATATACAAACATAGATAATTAGCTATAAAATCTCCCTCATCAAAATGTTTCTTTATAAAACATGAACCGTGTTTTAGTGTTATAATGTCGTAAGCTGTGTGTTCTTACATCTTCTACTAGGGATCGTGGTCCACACACGAACACGTCGACTGTTTTACTGAAAATAATTCATAAAACAAAACAATATAAATAATAATTTATAATACTTAACAATATCATAATAATAAACATAACAATATATGGAACACAATTATAATAATATTGTTTTTCAGGAAAGGTCGGGGGGGGGGGGGTGGGGTGGTACGGCGTAAAGCACGCTAAAAAAGTACTCAAATTGATTATTTAACATTTAGTTAAGAACACAAAACCCCTCAAAACATAGTTCCCCTGTTGTACGTGACAAGGAGTAGGGTCGCCTGCCCAACTTCGTGGGTTTTCTCCGGTTTCCTCCCACTGCTAAAGACATCTACGCGCAAGCAAATTATTGGAATATAACTGAACCATGTGTTAGTCCCGAAATAACCTAGTTTGTTTCGAGTGGACAATTGCCGTCTGTAAGCTTTTCAAAAATAATCAACCAACGCCATAATTTCGACCGAATATCAAACGCAAAAGGGTAAATACGTCGTATGAAACTAAGAAAATAACGTAACAAATCATTAATAATATCAAACGCAAAAGGATAAATACGTCGTATCAAACTAAGAAAATAACGTAACAAATCATTAATAATATAAGTAGGTGCCGGATACAATGTTAGCAAATTTGTTGGTTAGAGTGGTCTAACGTCCACTTTCACCGAGGTTGATGTCCCTCACAGACTAAGAAAAACTCTGTCTTGTTGATGTGTATTACAATTGTATTATATTATACCTATGGACAGTTGGAATTCAATATAAATGTATAACCGTAGCGCCACTGTCCGGACGAAATTTCTCTCATAAAGCACTGTACATGTGTATGCCCGTTTTCATAAGCCCAGTTGGTGCAGTAGGACGTTAAACCCCATTTCATTGATTCTTTAGAATAGAACAACTCTAGCATCTGATTACCTTTTATGTGATTCACTTAAATGTGAAAATATTTCTGTCCAATTAGGTTTATTTAATTGTAATCGTTTGTCTATAAAATCAACAACATCCCGTGATAAGGTCTGAAACATTAATAAAACAAAAAATAATACAAACATGACCCAAGGGCAGGCAAACATAGAAAGATGGTGGATTCCATAAGCTCTCACCAAGTCTAAATCTATTTGTTAAGGCCATCTCAATTTTTGTCACAGTCGGTCAGATGTAAATAAGGTTAGGGCACGTGATTGTTAGCGAGATTGCAGGTTAGGGTAAGCATTGGGGCTAGGTCCAGGCTTTGGTTAGGGTTGAGATTAGCGCTAGCCCGGTTTGCATCTCGTGACCTATGACGAAAATTGAGCTGGTCTTATCAGTTAGCACTAACCCTCTCACCAGCTCCCAATCTTAAGATTAAAACATGTTCCAAGGGAAGTAACTCCATTTAATGTTCAATAACTTTAAAAATGAATTTTTTAAAAGTTGGACTAGTAGTTATAAACGTACCTGATGTATGGAAGGAATCTGTGTTTGTGATCGAGTAATATACAGCTGAACATCTATTTTATCGATTTCATTTCGTTCACACAGCTGAAACAAGGGAGATAAATACAGTTTAACAGGCTGGATTAAGACCAATAACTTTCTCTCCAACTGACCTCCTCGTTAAATGGATGACATTTCTTGGCTTATAATATTCAGGTGATCATAAGATTTATAATCAAAAAGAGCACAGCATGCCACAATCATCTGATAAAATATTGCAACATTCCAGAATATTAAGCATTTGTATATCTATGAGAAATTTGGCTGAACGGACAATCTGTAAAGTAAATTCATAAAGTGCACGCTCAAAACCCATATCCTACATTATAATAGAATACTAGCCCCTATTTTATAAAGCGCGTGTTGAAGATTAACTATTTAAAAAGTGCACGCTTAAGATTCCCTCCAATATATTATGATAGATAACTGACCTTTACTTTATAAAGTATAAATGTAAAACACTTAAACTCCCATCCCCGTATTTTTTGATATCATATATCATCAAGTGCACGCTAAAGACACCCCCTAGTCTATCACAGAATACTAACCCACATATTATAAAGTGCACGCTTAAGACTCCGTCCCCTATATACTACCCCATTTTTTATAAAGTGCACGCTTAAGACCACCTCCCCTATATTATAGAGAGAGAGAGAGAAGTGGGGTTTAACGTCCACTCGACACAAACTAGGTCATTTCGGGACTAACATATGGTTTAACTTTATTTCAATAATTCGCTTGCGCGTAGGGGTCTTTAGCAGTGGGAGGAAACCGTAGGCCCCGGAGAAAACCCACGAGGTTGGATCCCCTATATTATGATAGAATATTAACCCCTATATTATAAAGTGCACGCCCCGCCCCCCCCCCCCCCCACACTTATATTATGAAAGAATACTAACGGTTTTATGTGTGTTCATTATTCCATCTATAAACCATGTTATGTTCACTCGATCTCTGTTGATCCATATAAAATATACCTTCTTTAACCTAAATAACTTGTCACTACGAAATCTAGAAGATAGTCAAGTAAAATTAAAAACAAATAAAGAATTAGTCTAAGTCAAAATTACTAGCATTGAGTACTACACGGATTATATATTTACTTAAACATACATTATGCAAGAGTTAAATCTGCCTATCTTAAGTCTTTCTTAATGCATGAAATGTTATCCAGATTATTAATTAGATATTAATTAACTTATCCAGATCATAACCAACTCTCGATGTCATCGCTAGCCTGCGATATTTACTGGATTAGGATCCGATTTGCTGCTCAACTTTCATTCACCATTTAATCATGACGTGGATAATCGAGACTATGTTTCTTTTATCGTACTGACTTTTGTAATGATGATCGAGGCTCGATCGAAAATTCAATCGCTAAATTCTCGGTTCAGAGTGGATAAATTTGACTGAAATTTTCAGCAAATACCCTTTACATTATCTAGTTTTTAACTATTATAGTGAGAATTACCAGCTCTTTATCTAATCTCCCATAATGTATATTTAAGAGACAAATTGCTCAAATTAGTCAATTGAAGAATTTCTCATATTTGGAACGCATTATGGGTTTAAAATAGGATGGTCTGAATATCTAACTATTTATATGAAGAAAGCTAATTGGGTGGGCCAGTCGTTCGGATGGGACGAAAAACAGGAGTTGACATTGGTGAGCACGTAAGGGAATCCTTGATAGTTGTAATTTTCAATTAGGATTAATTTATTTTGTATAATGTTTATTACCGTAATCTATCCAAAAATGATATGAATGGCGTTACACCGATTCCGCCCGCAATACACACGGCTATTTTTGATTGGTTCATCCGACATAACGGAGAGGTAAATGGTCCGTCAATATATACAGAAAACCTACAATAAATAAACAGACGTAAACAAAAGTCTCGTATAAAGATATTACGTAATCAAAATATAAAAAAAGATGGGGTGTTCTTTTGGCGAGGGGGAGCGGGGAAGGGAGCAAGCTTATGATCGGCTACATGGCCTGGACATCCAACTTGGGCGCTTGGGGTTGGGTGTCGCTACTACTCCTGTCAAGGGACAAATTACGTAATCCAAATATAGGATGTTTTTTTCGAGGTCGGGGTAGGGTGGTCGAGCTTGTTGATGGACTGGCCTGTATACCATACTTGGGCGCTTGGGATGGGATGTCGCTAGTAGTCTTGTCAAGGGTCAAATTTGTAGATGGACTGTACACACGATGGGTGCTTTTCGGCCGGTTTAATGTATATGACTTTAAAGTGAGGCATGTGGTTTAACGTCCACTCAATACAGGCTAGGTCATTTACTGTGATAATCTTTATTTCAATATTGCGCTTGTGCGTATGGGTCGTCAGAAACGGGTAGAAATCGGTGGACCCGGAGAAAAATCCACATGAGTACATGAGTGCCCCTGCCCCTCGCCACCTGACTGAATGACAGGTCTTATGATCGAAACTACATATCTTAGACCACCACCCCTCCCACAGTTAAAATAACAGGTCGCACGCCTTTACTTATGTAAAAGTACAAGGTTTATGAGGGTTTACCTGTCTTCGGATGAATAACCACCATCCACTGTTTTCTGTAATTTACCTTTAAATATTTAAACATATTAATGTATATTTGTATCATCACCCAATAATACATTCTACAGTAGTTATCGCTTGTGTGATATATTTCATAATCCTTAAGATATATCGCTTTACATGAATTTGATTGGTCAGTTTAAAAGGAACTATTTTTTTTATTTTCAAAGAACAGTTCATTTCTTATTAAAAGTAACTTCTTTTTTTTTTATTAAAAATGACCTATTGTTATTCAACTGACCATGATGGAAACACTGGGTCAACATAAAGGACTTTGCAATGGTTTAATTGCTGTCAAAAAATGATGTATCACTACGCCGTAAAGTAATCAGTTTCAGTAAAAGTGAAATCTAAAGCAAAGGATTATATCTATCTATTTGTGCATGTAAGAAAGGATTGGGTGATAAATAAAAACTCCTACTCAACTTTTTTGATATCAAAAAAGACTCATAGGAGATTCTCTATTTCTCTGAAATCCCAATCAAAACAAAATCTATAACTCTGCTTATAAGTGAGAATTATGTACACCATTTCGTTACCGCTTTATGCCCAATGGGTTGGGCAGTTGTCGGAGTACTCAAAATATAAAGTTTATATTGGGAATGTTCCACCAATTTGCCACAAATATCCCATTTGAAAAACTTAACTTATCGTAAATATCTCTATAACTATAATATGTACTATAACTATATTTATATGTATTCATTATAACTATGTGTATTATAACTATATGTACTATAACTATATTTACATGTATTCATACTATAATTATATGTATTATCTCTATAACTATATGTATTTACTATAACTATATGTATTATCACTGTAACTATATGTATTATCACTATAACTATATGTATCATCACTATAACTATATGTATTATCCCTATAACTATATGTATTATCCCTATAACTATATGTATTATCCCTATAACTATATGTATCATCACTATAACTATATGTATTATCCCTATAATTATATGTGTTATCAATATAACTATATGTATTTTAACTATATGTATTATCAAGTTTCTATAGTTACCAATTCACCTGACCAGTCGCCTGAAGTACGAATATGTACAGAAAAATTCTTGGAATCTTCTCTCGGACACTGGAATAAACACGTTTGCAAAACATGTAATACTTTTTAAAAAAAAATGATCAATATTTATTAATCATCTCACCCGAAACTTCCGTTGTCGATAACAAATAGTTGTCTGGATAAGGTAATGTAACTGACTGGATGTTCGCGTATACAGTGCAGAATGGAAAATGTTGTCGCAGTTGACCAGGTAACATTGCATTGTTCCGATTACCAACTAAAGGGCAAAGCCACATTTCTTCTCAGCCAATTGTAAGGCATACATAAATCTTCGTATGGCATCATGTTACTTAGAAGACTATTTCCTACGACATTTCGACGCGGGCTCTCTCCCGTCGTTTTCAAGCGTTGAGATTTCGAAGTTTCAATTACTAATGTTGTATACCTACCTGTGTTATAGAGAATGGATGCCACTCAAAATATGATATTGATGAACATTTCAACAAAATGTACTGAAATATAAAAACATACTGAAATAAACATCAGCTATTCACACATACTGAAATATTTCGTTCATATTCAAAGAAACGAAATGAAATGAAATGGGATTTAACGTCCTACTGTTCTGCTCCGACTGGGATAATGAAGACGGGGGAAATCAAATGTCTTATGCGTAGGTTATAGTTATAGTAGCCGCACGGTTCGGGAACTATCCGAGACGCAGGCGAACGACGGTGACTCAATGAGTAGGTTATAGTTATAGTAGCCGCACGGTTCGGGAACTACCCGAAACGCAGGCGAACGGCGGTGTTTCATACGGAGTCACAATTCCAAAATGGCTGGGATGACGTCGTTACGGGGTCATATATACCAGTTTTGTGCTCTAGAAGGGGGTGTTTTATTCTCCACTTCTTCAAACATGTTTTAACTTACCCTATAATACAGAAACAATTACCTGGCCAGGAGTAGCTTTGAATCCATCGCAAGTCATATTGACTTCCACCACACCACCGGGATAGGATTTTAGACTTCCAACCTTCAATGTACTTTTACCTCTCCTAAAGATCCGTACAGTACTATCACAGATATAGATAAACAAAGGGATACCAATCCAATACCAAGACTGGAATAATACAATATTATGAAAGTCGGATCTCTAAGGGGTATATTCAAAAGTTAAAAAAATAGTTAGAAAAGTATTATGTAAGATTTAGGCAAAGCGCCGACCGTTCCTGCTATAACAGTTCAAAAATAGATAATGCAAAAAGAATATATTAAACATTTCATTCAAATTACTTTATTTTGAGCCAAGTTATCACTGTTTGTAGTTTTGACAAGATGTATGCATTGATTACTTATTTTCGTAGCCACGGTACTAGTATATTCGAGTCTTAGCCTCGCTTCTCCATTTTTAAATTAACTCATTAAATGACCGAACTGTTCTAATCTATTTAAAATCTCGAGCATCTAATTAATAATTTAGATAATAATAAAGAAAGACCTACAATAGTCAGATTTAGCTCTCGAATAATTAATGTATCTTTCAATACATATATTTTTTAAAAAATTCGGCGCCGTCTTGAATTGTTGTGTAAACTCGTTTAATTTTGGTGGGCTGCTTTCCTTTAATCCATTTGAATCCAATTCGAGAGATTATCTAGAGTTGAAATTTTGGTTTTGTTTTCAAAATTGTATGTTGAATATTCAATCAATAAAATACAGACCTATATTTCGATTTTTTTTTGTACTTTCGATGCCATACACTACATGAACTGACCAGTTGTAGTGGAAGGTCACGCCAGGTGTCATATGAGCGACTTTTGACCTTATGACGTCAATCGTCTATTACTCAATCAGCGTTGACGTTTCTATTGATTTACCCAAAGTTCAGTGCGCCTCACCAAAAAAAACCTCGCCGTAACGGACCGTTTTATTGGCCAATCCCTAACATCATCCAGAACGCGGGTTATATATCAACTCTTCCAGATCCTAGTGTATTTAAGACAAGTTAAACAAAATTTTGAACTATAAAAAACGAAACGAAATAGGATCTGTGTTTTAATCAGAATGGTATTCAATTTGAATACATCTTATTATGGACTATATTTAATTGATATTGTAACACACACTTACCTGAATCTTAATATGTTCAAATCGAGGTCTCTCTGTACAGTTAGTGATATTAGACGTCATTAAATAAAGCTCTGTGATTGGTTCAGATTGGGGTGAGATTGATGACGTATTACAGCCTGGCCAATGATTGTTCAGGTTAGTTTGTTGTTTAATAGATCCTCTGAAATTATTGAACGTACAAATGACTTCATACACCATATATATTTTAGTTGATATCAAACGTCTCGGTGTACAAAAGTGGTATCAGGTGTTATAAGAAGAATTGGAAACCATACGATTTAATACGGTTAAAGGGACTAAACCTGTAGCTCAATATTTCCATTATATTTGAAATTAAAAACACGAATTAGAATTTAATATTGGTCAATCTCAATCAATAATGATGTTGTTATCTTGCTGTGAAAATATGAAATCCGAATATCCAAGATTTAAGACACAATGAATATTTCATAATCAGTACACGAGCGGTGTATTTTATGGTTTTGGGTGCCATCTCTAATAAACAAAGTAAAACATATCCTACAAAACAATGCGAAAGTAATTATTAATGTCTGATTCACAAACAACAAAAGAATAATAATAATAAAACGTCTAAAATGGATTAAGCAGGCGTAAACGGCTTTTGTTCAATTTGGACTGTTCTTAGTTTCACATCAGCTGTCATACACACAAAGACTAAATAATTTTTAATTTTATCAAATGGAAGCAGAATAGATACATAACAAAATTCTCGACGTATACATAGAGTTTCCGACTAAAATCTAGATTTAGTACCTAAAATGTCGGTCAACTAGCTTAGTGTCTGTTGTCAAGCAGAGCTAACTGTAGAAATGAAATGAAATGAAATGAAATGGGGTTTAACGTCCTACTGTTCTGCTCCTAAACTACGCCATACAGTGTGCTACGGCCTACTTTTATATCGAATTCCAACTGCCAAGGGATCTTTTACGTGCACGCCAATGTGTACAATGGACCTCGGTTTTTTGTCCCATCCGAACGACTAGACAACTGTCCTTGTCAGGGTCGCTAACTGTAGACAGACAGCCTATGTTTAGTATGTGGTAATAGGTGACTCTATACAAGACGTCGCCCATTTGCATAAATGACGACATAATCTGCGGAGGCGCTAGTACTTACCCCACAGCGTTGTGAACTAATATTAATATATAGAAGATGATGTGAAAAACTTACCCCATAGCGTGAACTAATATTAATATATAGAAGACGAGAATGAGACGATGTGTAAAACAAAACAAATCATAGTTCACTTCCCTGAAACATACAAAGAGAGGAATCGATTTTAACGTCATTTCGGGACTAACATATGGTTAAATTTTATTTCAACAAGGGGAGACCACGCCGGAAAATTCCGAGGAACTTTCTTGGCCCAGGATTGAGACCATTACATTGGACTCAATGAAAAATCCTATGATCTAAACCGCACGCGTTCCCTTACCTCATATGTCTATAACTGGTGGTTACTATGACAACAAGAATAACACACATTAATAAACCAGTAATACCTGCAACTGAAATTAAATTAAACATTTATTTTAAAAATATCACCATTATCAAAGAATTATATTTATACACGATTAAAAGCACAATCAACAGTTATTTCCGGGTGATGTCGCACCACAAACCCGTTAAGTACTCTTGATACGAAATAAACTGCTACAGTTGTATTACTAAATGATCGAGACTAATCTGCCTGTAAACAGGTTGGTAACAATCTATTGTGGTACTTCCGGTCGAGGCACTAACTTTAATTTTAAATAAATAGAGAGAAATAGAGTTTAAAGTTCACTGGACACAAACTAGATTATTTCGGGACTAACACATGGATCTCTTTATATTTCAATAATTAGCTTGCGCGTAATGGTGACACGCACATGCGGGGAAATCGAACCCATGACACTTATGATGCAACGCGCACGCTTTAACCATTTGGCCCCCCCCCCTTGAGTAAATACGGTACAGAACTGGTGAACATTAGACACAAGAAAAGAAATAGGGCATAAACTTACCGCTTCTAATTGCTATAAATACGGGATCCTGAAATCAGACAGGTTTTAATTACTATTATACCATCTTAAAGGTCAATGTCCTCTGTATAATATTGGGAACAGCTGTATGTCGAAATACGAGTAATTTCTCTCATTACACACGACATGGCATATTTATCATCTTCATTAGTTCAGGCGGTGCAGAAAAGAAAGATGTTAAACGCCCATTTCATTTAAACCTTAATGTCCCTTAAACTTGGTTCACAAAGGTGCTTTTCTGAGACAATTTGCAAGCGATTTTTAACAGCCCGCCCCCTCCCCTCATCAATATTGCAAAAAAAAAAGTCTGAATGTAATTTTAAGAGCCAATTAGCTTGCACCGATGTCATGCATTTCATTGATACTAGCGACCAAGCAAATATTTACTGCGGATCAGTTTGCGGTGCCTGTAGAGGTAAGATTGAACACCTTGGTTATAGACCTTGGTATCTGGGGATGAATTGAGAAATGTGAAACAAGTTTGATATTCGACGACAAAGAATTGAGCTTTGCTCTGATATGGTACTATTGTACATTCTCTGTGTATTCAGTGCAAGCTAAAATATCACCTGAGTATGGCATGACATGCTTTCGGTGGCAGCGGACGTTAAATATAGCCATTTTTGAGTAAATCACCGACGTCAATTCCTGATTCGCAGCCTGCAGATTCATTTACCCTTTACCTGTTGTGAATATTCGGCGCCATTAACTTCTGTATACACGTCATTATAATAACGGGAAAAATTGACGTCATTAAACATGTGACCTATAAAATGGACAACTGAAAATGAAAATAATTTTTAAAAAGTTATTAATAGAGCTTTTTTAAACGCCGTCTGGCATAATAAAACAAATCAAAAATTAAATGGATTACTAAATTGAAAAAAAATTGAGAGACATTTAGAAAATCACAATATAACCATTCTTACACATGGTAGCAATGTAAACACAGGTACGTATTACGAATCTATTACAAGCCAGGTCGTATACACATTTAATGTCATTTCGTCCAGGTCAGTATACACATTTAAGGTCATTTCGCCCAAACCAGTATACGTACTCATGGAATCCATGCCAGGTCGTATACACATTTAAGGTCATTTCGCCCAGATCAGTTTACGTACTCATGGAAACCAAGCCAGATCATATACACAATCTCCAGACTTAAGAATTTACTCAACTTTCAATTACTGTTTACGAGAAATATCTTTGATCTAGAAACACAAAACTTTGCACATAGTTTCTTATGGATGTATTTGATAAATTAAAACAATAAAAGTTTTTTTAAAGGGTTACATTTAAGTTAAAATAAGACGAAGAAGAGTAAATTCTTAACTTAAATCTCCAAAATACGTGTTTTATAAGTACAAACCTGTAGTCATGACAATAATTACAGCACATGCTATATGGAATCCTTTACAGGAATCTATCAATGTATTTATAGTACTGATCTGTATCTGAAATAACATAAAAAACCGACTCGTTCATTATCTTCAAATATCAATCATTTTTCTGAAAAAAACTACCGAAGCATAATAATGGGACACGTCTCCTGTGATTTTACACTTTAACTTAAACATACATTATAGCAACAATGGATAGCTCCGTATCTCATCTTACATAATGTATCTTTAATATTGCCATTGCATCCAGGGGATGGGTAGTTTCCATGCCCCACTTGTTTGTTCGTGACAAGGTATAAGATAGCTTGTCAAACCTCCTGGGTTTTCTGTGGTTTCTTCCCACTGCTAAAGGTTACTTATAGCTGGGTCTCCATTGGGTAAAGTCCGTCTTCATGAGACGATTCGAAGCTGAATAGTAGGATGTTAAACCCCATTTCATTTCTATTCGGTAAAGCGTTGGCTAGCTAACAAGACAATCCCGATGCTGGCCCAGAAAGCTCCCGTGCCTGAACAAGGGCTGGCCTCGGTTTTCTGTCTTATGTGAAGGACTTGACACACTTCACAGTCCCGATTATTCTTCACGGCACAAGCAGGCATTTGAAATCGGGACATTCTATTCGAGGGACCAGGAGGAGCCATTAACTATATTAAAGTTAGATTACCTGCTTGTTGCAAGATCTTAAAATAGTTAGAATATATCGGCACATAGGTAGTAAAATTAAACCACAATTTAGATTCAATATGGCAGCCGATCCTCTTGAGATACACATCCACCTCTGAAATATGTAAATTAAACGTTATATTAAAATATTCATAGTCCTGTATTATAGCTATAGAATCAAAAATTCGTAAAATGTTCGAAGGGTTGGTGTCTTCGGGTGATTGGGCCCAACAGGTATTCATGCAGCAAGTATGGTACTATTTGTATTTCTCTACGTTATGATATGTAATACTACCCTGCCAAATGACAATATATGAATTTAAGGACAATTTATTGACCGGTTCTCAGCTAATCACAGTCCACCCCTCCTTAATGTTGTAATTGTATTTCAACTGTTTCCATTGTTGTTAGTTCAAACAAGAAATGAAATGAAATGGGGTTTAACGTCCTACTGTTCAGCTCCGACTGGGCTAATCAATGCGGGCAATTTTATCTGGACAGTGGCGCTACGGCCTACCCGTATATCGAATTCCAACTGCCAAGGGATCTTTAATATGGCCTTGGTTCTTCGTCCTATCCAATCTGGTTAAAACGCAGATCCTATTTCGTTTCGTTTTTATAGTTCAAAATTTCGTTTTACTTGTCTTTACTACACTTGGATCTGGAAGAGTTGTTATTTAACTCGTGTTCGGAATGGTGTCAAGGATAAGCCAATGAAACGGTCTGTTACGACGAGCTTTAGACGTGTTTTGCACGGAACTGTGGGTAATCCACTAGTAACATCAATGCTGGTTGGTTAATCAAATGTCTGACATCATAGGGTCATAAGTCGGTCATTTGACCCCTGACGTGATCTATCGCTATAACTTGTCAGATCTTTATGTAGTGTAGGCCATCGAAAGTATAAAAAAACGAAACGAAATATAGATCTGTATTTTAATCAGATAGCGTCCTATCCTAACGACTATACATTGTCCCTTGCCAGGCCCTCGGCCCTGCTCTACTGACAAGGAGGAACCACGTTGGAAAGTCCAGATGAACTTTCTCGGCAAATGTAGGGATCGAACACGACCCCACGTCTTATTCACTGTGCCACAGAATTAGAGAGCGGCATGTAGGTAACTTCACGATTACACGCGTTTAAATGGATTGGATACCCTCGAAATGAAATCTCGAGCTGGGATTTAATGAGCCAGCAATTTACTCACTTAGTGAGCCATTGCCTAGACGAGAAATTTTGTTTCGTATTCTATTGCAAGATGAATAATTATAAACTTATTAGTAATTGAAAAAAAAAACTTAAATAAAATTTAATAAACGTACCCCCAACATCTGATGTACATAGTAGAATCTAGGGTCATCTCTATAATAGCGATAATCCCTATAGAATAATCCCATACAGCTAATTAACCATAATACCTACAACAATAGTTTCAGTGACATTTAGTAGCCGACATGGAAATAAACAGCCCAATGGACTAATATGTTGTGACGGACCGTAGTCCTTATGGAAGAAGACCACAATTCATTTTCTCATTGACTTTTAAGTTTAATTCTGGGCCCGGTTCCTAGAAAATTCTTAGAGTAAGCACAAAGTCATGTTTCACTTTTTCTTACGTAAGAAACTTATAAAAATACCGTCCCAAGAAAATTCTTAAGACAATTCTTACGTAAGCACAAGTCAAGTATAAGTCTAAGCACATTGTGACTGGTAAAGTTTACCATAAACTGAGACTACGATGCTCTTTAACGTCATAAAAAAAACTTTGGTATGCGAATTACGTCATAAATTTATCGTCTGCTTCATTTACGTCATATATTATACGGTTGATTTAGATGCATTTGGCATGTCCCCTATACACATATAAAATGTGCCACAAGATACAAAAACGCAGACACATACAAACTAAATGAATAATTGTGAGAGCGCCTGATCTTAAAGTAGCCTGTGTGTTTGTAGCCTATTGTTTACTAATTGGCAAATAAATAAAATGGTTTCAGGGTAGAAGCGAAATTTTCTATAGCATTCTTAATTTCTTCTGGAGAAGGATATTCTCTGTTTTGTAATAATTGTCTGTTTGGTATCAAAAGGTGTCGGAAATGCCGTCGAAACACTCTACGGTCAGCCATCTTTTTGAAGCAGAAACAGACTTAAGGTTGGTAAGCAAGCCCTATATCTTGCTTGGGACTTGTGCTTAGATTGACTATGTTTAAGAACGAAGTTGTGCTTAAGTTTTTTCTTGGAACGCATAATAACGTTCTTGTGCTTACAATGAAGTCTACTTAAAATCTTAGCACAAGAACGTTCTTAAGAATTTTCTGGGAACACAAAATAAGGGAAGTTTACTTAAATGCAAAGTCTACTTAAATCTAAGCACAAGAACGTGCTTAAGAATTTTCTAGGAATCGGGCCCTGGTCTCTTGCCTGTTAGTATAGGGAGTTACTATTTAAAGACGAACTACAAATTTAATTGTAGTTTGATTCCTAATCAGTGCGTGGTTTTCAGCCAATTTTTAGATTATAAAGAAAAGAGATTTACATGTAGCTTATTTAAATCGACAAACTGACACAAGAAATTTTATGTTGTTTTATTAAATGAATATAATCCGTCTTTACATTGAAATAATGCTTTTTGATTTCGCCGGACTATTTTACATAATAAGTAAATGGGTAATAAGGGTTTATTGATTTCCTCAACAAGCAGTCAAATGTGTATGTAGACAGTCATCAACAGTTTAATAGGCGGAAGATACGGAAGCCTAGTCTCTATCCGTCTTCAGTAGTCTTTGGTGCAGAAAAGTGTACTGTACACGTTAAACTGTACACTGAATCACCTGCAATTAACTTACCATCACCATCAATATTTAATGACTGTTAATATACACTAAGAACAGTATACATAGTTTTATACATGTAATACTCATTAAAGGCCACCGCACATAAGAACCGATTTCGTTTTGAGTTCTGGACGTCGACGTTTCGTTAGCTGTCGAAATTAAAGGACATGGGATTTAACGTCTTACTGTTCTGGTCCTACTGGGCTAGTGAAGACCGGCATATGCCATACAGAGTGCTATGAGGGAAATTTTGCCCAGACAGGGGCGCTACGGCCTACTCTTATATCGATATCCATCTGCAAGGTGATCTTTTACGTGTACGCCAATGGATTATTCGTCCCATCGGAACGACTACACAGCTGCCCTTGCTAGGGACTCCGTCCTATACCACTGACAAGGGGGAACCACACCGAAAAAAACCGTTGAACTTTCTCAGTCAACATCGGGAGCGAACCCGCGACCCCCAGTCTAGCGAGTCAGCCTCTTACTAACTTCGCCACCGTTGCTCCTATTCAGCGGTCGAATGTAGTACATTATTGTACACGCGAATTGGCACCACTTGGTTGGTTACAGTGTTAACAATTGTGATAGCATTCTCCCATACAGAACATTTTAGCCTGTATCCAAGACAAAAACAAACTATTTCCAATATATAAGCGTGCATTAGGAAAAATATTTATTGACCCTAGATGGTATGTATGCAAACTATACGCTATTGTAAAAAGCAGAATCGGATAAGCAGTGTAAACAGGGTGAATCGTGTAAACGGAGCCTTAGTATTCATAGCGGATTTGAGTGCATTAGGTTAATTGCCCGTCACGTTTATCTTAATGTAGTAATTAAATGGCCGCCCCGTGTAAACTGGAAACATATGTCTATAATTATAAACAGATTGACCAATATCTGATTTGTACTAAGTTCATACAGCATCAATATATCACAATATTTATTTTATCTACATGGAGGGAACATATCAATTAACTCGTTATAATAACAGGTTTAAATAGACAACTAATGGAGCGAGAGAGAGAGAGAGAGAGAGAGAGAGAGAGAGAGAGAGAGGTGCCTTCACATTTTTAGTAACCGCTTTCTCTAAAATAGACTAATCTGACTGACAGAATAGTAGACAGAGAGAGGGAGAGAGATGGGTTTAACGTCCGCTCGACACAGACACGGTCATTTCGGGACTAACATATGGTTTAATTTTATTTCATTATTTTGTTTGCGGGTAGGGGTCTTTAACAGTGTGGGGATGTGGCGGGGGGGGGGGTGAACCAGATTACCCGTGAAAAACCCACGAGGCTGGACAGACAACCCTGTGCCTTGTCACCTACAAGCCGGGAATCGAAACCACGTCAGTTGACTCAATGAGTGTTTATTTTCAACGGGAGTGAAATTGTATTGTGTCCTTTAAAATCTACATATCTGGCCGGGGTTGGACAACTTTTCTCGCTACCCCAAATCTGTTAAGTATTAGTATTTTGCGATTTTAAAACTCCTATAACATTTCCAGGTCAAGAATTAATACGAATCAGCTGTTTTGTCTTTGATATCCTAG